GAAGAAGTTAAATTTTCTGGCCATAAAGTTTAAAAATTAAATAAATCTAAACTATGGTCAAACTATAGCGACCTCTCTTGAACTTTAGGCCAAGATGAAGTTAAATGTTCTGGCCATTTCAGTTTTAAAATTAAATAAATATAAACTATGGGTAAAGTATGGCGAACTATGGCGACCTCTCTTGAACCAAGAAGAAAGTTAAAGAAGAAGACCAAGAAAAAGTTAAATTTTCTGACCATTTCAGTTTTAAAATTAAATAAATATAAACTATGGGCAAACTATTGCGACCTCTCTTGAACCAAGAAGAAAGTTAAATAAGAAAACCAAGAAGAAGTTAAATTTTCTGTCCATTAAAGTTTAAATATTATATAAATCTAAACTATAAGCATACTTTGGCGAACTATAGCGACCTCTCTTGAACTGCGGGAAGAGTCAAATCAAATTTTCTAGCCATTTATATTTGAAAATTAAATAACTCTAAACTATGGCGACCTCTCTTGAACCAAGAAGAAGTTAAATTTTCTGGCCATTAAAGTTTAAATATTAAATAAATCTAAACTATAAGCATACTTTGGCGAACTATAGCGACCTCTCTTGAACCAAGAAGAAGACCAAGAAGAAGATAAATTTTCTGGCCATTAATGTTTAAAAATTAAATAAATCTAAACTATGGTCAAACTATGGCGACCTCTCTTGAACTATAGGCCAAAAAGAAGTTTAATTTTCAGGCCATTAAAGTGTAAAAATTAAATAAATCTAAACTATGGTCAAACTATGGCCACCTCTCTTGAACTATAGGCCAAGAAGACGTTAAATTTTCTGGCCATTTCAGTTTTAAAATTAAATAAATCTAAACTATGGGTAAACTATTGCGACCTCTCTTGAACCAAGAAGAAAGTTAAATAAGAAGACCAAGAAGAAGTTAAATTTTCTGGCCATTAAAGTTTAAATATTAAATAAATCTAAACTATAAGCATACTTTGGCGAACTATAGCGACCTCTCTTGAACCAAGAAGAAGACCAAGAAGAAGATAAATTTTCTGGCCATTAATGTTTAAAAATTAAATAAATCTAAACTATGGTCAAACTATGGCGACCTCTCTTGAACTATAGGCCAAGAAGAAGTTAAATTTTCAGGCCATTTCAGTTTTAAAATTAAATAAATATAAACTATGAGCAAACTATTGCGAACTATAGCAATCTCTCTTGAACTATGGGCCAAGAAGAAGTTAAATTTTTTGTCCATTTCAGTTTTAAAATTAAATAATTCTAAACTATGGAAAACTATGGCGACCTCTCTTGAACCAAGAAGAAGACCAAGAAGAAGTTAAATTTTCTGGCCATAAAGTTTAAAAATTAAATAAATCTAAACTATGGTCAAACTATAGCGACCTCTCTTGAACTTTAGGCCAAGAAGAAGTTAAATGTTCTGGCCATTTCAGTTTTAAAATTAAATAAATATAAACTATGGGTAAAGTATGGCGAACTATGGCGACCTCTCTTGAACCAAGAAGAAAGTTAAAGAAGAAGACCAAGAAAAAGTTAAATTTTCTGACCATTTCAGTTTTAAAATTAAATAAATATAAACTATGAGCAAACTATGGCGAAATATAGCAATCTCTCTTGAACTATGGGCCAAGAAGAAGTTAAATTTTTTGTCCATTTCAGGTTTGAAATTAAATAATTCTAAACTATGGTCAAACTATGGCGACCTCTCTTGAACTATAGGCCAAGAAGAAGTTAAATTTTCAGGCCATTTCAGTTTTAAAATTAAATAAATATAAACTATGAGCAAACTATGGCGAAATATAGCAATCTCTCTTGAACTATGGGCCAAGAAGAAATTAAATTTTCTGGCCATTTCAGTTTTAAAATTAAATAAATGTAAGCTATGAGCAAACTATGGCGAACTATAGCAATCTCTCTTGAACTATGGGCCAAGAAGAAGTTAAATTTTCTGGCCATTTCAGTTTTAAGATTAAATAAATATAAACTATGGGCAAACTATGGCGACCTCTCTTAAACCAAGAAGAAAGTTTAAGAAGAAGACCAAGAAAAAGTTAAATTTTCTGACCATTTCAGTTTAAATATTAAATAAATCTAAACTGTGAGCATACTTTGGCGAACTATAGCGACCTCTCTTAAACTGCGGGAAGAGTCAAATCAAATTTTCTAGCCATTTATATTTGAAAATTAAATAACTCTAAACTATGGCGACCTCTCTTGAACCAAGAAGAAGACCAAGAAGAAGTTAAATTTTCTGGCCATAAAGTTTAAAAATTAAATAAATCTAAACTATGGTCAAACTATGGCGACCTCTCTTGAACTTTAGGCCAAGAAGAAGTTAAATTTTCTGGCCATTTCAGTTTTAAAATTAAATAAATATAAACTATGCGTAAACTATGGCGAACTATGGCGACCTTTCTTGAACCAAGAAGAAAGTTAAAGAAGAAGACCAAGAAAAAGTTAAATTTTCTGACCATTTCAGTTTTAAAATTAAATAAATCTAAAGTATGGCAAACTATTGCGACCTCTCTTGAACCAAGAAGAAAGTTAAATAAGAAGACCAAGAAGAAGTTAAATTTTCTGGCCATTAAAGTTTAAATATTAAATAAATCCGAACTATAAGCATACTTTGGCGAACTATAGCGACCTCTCTTGAACCAAGAAGAAGACCAAGAAGAAGTTTAATTTTCTGGCCATTAATGTTTAAAAATTAAATAAATCTAAACTATGGTCAAACTATGGCGACCTCTCTTGAACTATAGGCCAAGAAGAAGTTAAATTTTCAGGCCATTTCAGTTTTAAAATTAAATAAATATAAACTATGAGCAAACTATGGGGAACTATAGCAATCTCTCTTGAACTATGGGCCAAGAAGAAATTAAATTTTCTGGCCATTTCAGTTTTAAAATTAAATAAATCTAAACTGTGGAGAACTATGGCAACCTCTCTTGAACTATAGGCCAAGAAGAAGTTAAATTTTCTGGCAACTTTAGTTTTAAAATTAAATAAATCTAAACAATGGCGAACTATGGCGACCTCTCTTGAACCAGGAAGAAAGTTAAAGAAGAAGACCAAGAAGAAGTTAAATTTTCTGGCCATTAAAGTTTAAAAATTAAATAAATCTAAGCTATGGTCAAAGTCAAAGTCAATTGGGCTACACGAATTTTTAAATTTTGGCTGGAAATTTAAAATTTAATTAACAATTTAAATTGGCTTGGCCGCCATTTTGTTTTACCCACAGAGTATTGGTTATATGTTTACAATAGATGGCGCCACTAATTTTTTAAACTTATAAAATTTTTAACAATTAAAATTAGTTTGTTACTTAATCTGTTTAACCGACTGAGTGTCAATATGGATCCCCTCAAGTCCTCAACAGATGACGGCTTATTTATAAACCATTTACTAGAAATTATTTTTTGATAAATATAATTATTAGATATTACCTAAATGTTTATTGCTTTATCATTGTTTCATTATTATTATATTGCTTATTATTTATAAACTTTAATTGTTTTAAGGTAAGTTTTAAATATGTTACTATAATGAATTAATTATTACTACTTAAAATTGAGATATACGATAGATGTTATTTATTACTTATATAACCTATATATTACTTATATAACCTATATATAACTTATAAGCAATTTATTATTTAAGGTAAGTTAAATAATTTAATTAGTCTGTAATATTAGTTATTAATCACTTTTAAATTTAAACATAATTTCGCGCTAAGTTATATTTTGTTTTCGATATATCGAAATGATTCGAGCGAGAATAATAGTCGCTCGTTACAGAGGTTTTACCGGCTCCAGAAGAATGAAACGATTCTCATTGGTTGATTTCTACTGTTAAAAATTTAAGTTAAGTTTTTAATGGAAATTATTATGTAAATATTGTGTTAAATAAGTTTTAACCATCATGCTTCTGAGATATTAATATAATTATTATTATAAACAGTTAATTTAAAGTTACCTGAATTTTTAATTATATAAATCATTTATGTACTTTCCTTGCCTTTATACTAGTTTACTGTAAGGCGGGAAATTTTAACTTACATTAATCAATATGATTCATTATTTTTTTCTTATAATTATATATTTAAGTATATTTTCTAAATATTCATAAGATTATTTATTTGATAATATGGTAATAATGTAATATATGTGAGAATTGTGGAAAATTTGGGAAATTATTTTAATTGTGTCGTCCCTGAGCCGCCATGTCAATGTCTAACCCAACCTTCAGTGCAAACAAATAAGTGTTTACAGTTTAATAGTATTTCTAATAATATCGCATAATGCAGGAAGAAAATGTAAGTAGAATTTAATTACATAAATAAAACTTATAGTCTAAATTTGAACAAATTATAAAATCAGTTTTATTGTCAAAGTGGAAACATTTTTTTCTCTCAAACAATACAGTTGTTTGATATTTTAACATTACACTCCCCCGTCAAATTTTGCCTACTAGTATATGGGCATAAGTGAAAGAACATTTAAGTAAATTAATTATTTTATTATTAAATGAATTTCAAAAAAAATTGTGTTTTTATACTTACAATTTTGACACTTGCATGAGTTAGGTTAGGAGTGATTAAACTTTATATTTTCATCCAATAGTGAAAGAAATTATCAAGTGTAGAGAAAAACAGTGAATAAAAAAAATGACTGAAAAATTTGAATAGAAGAAATGTTTAATCACTCCTAACCTAACCCAAGCGTGAAATTTATTTAATTTATAAGAAGAAAAAGAATATTACAAATACTAATATTTTTAATTTCTCAACTAACTGTAACCTTCTTTTAATGTTATAATCATTTATAATATTTCATAAACAAAACATTTTAATTGAATAAAATGAAGAAACAAAAACAGAAAATTTTTATAAGAGTTTATTTTATTCATCATGTTAATATATTTATAACATTTTTTTCCCCGATTTAAAAATAGTGTTTTTATTAATAATTTCCAAAAATATATTTTTTCAGAATAATTTGAATGAAATACTTGACGTCATGTGGAATATGGCATACAACCCCGAAGAGCCAGCATTATTTTTAAGACCAGCCGCACCACGACCACCCGTACCGGCTCCGAGAGCAGCGCCAAGGCGAAATCGTTGGGATCAGAGACCTGCTGCACTAGCGGTACCACAAGAAACATTACAAGCAGGTCCGTGGATTCGTGTTCAAACCCGTCCACGACCACCAGTACCGGCTCCGAGAGCAGCGCCAAGGCAAAATCGTTGGGATCAGAGACCTGCTGCACTAGCGGTACCACAAGTAGAAGAGCAAGCAGCACCGAGAGTCATACGCCGTATTGCTCATGTACCGCGACTACCACGTGAGGTGCCAGTACCGGCTCCGAGAGCAGCACCAAGGCAACCGCGAACACCACGTGAAGTACCAGTACCGGCTCCGAGAGCGGCACCAAGCCAACCGCGAACACCACGTGAAGTACCAGTACCGGCTCCGAGAGCGGCACCAAGCCAACCGCGACTGCCACGTGAAGTACCAGTACCGGCTCCGAGAAGAGTAATTTGTATTAGTGCTCAACCTCTTAGAGGAACAGCACGTCAACGCCTAACGAAGGCTATGAGGATGTTGGCCACAGCATCCTCAAAAAAGGGGCGTTAATTATCTTTTCGATTTATCTTTTCACATTTCTTTTAGTTTTTTTATTATTTTCATTTTTTTTATAAAGTTTCTCTTTTACAGTAACATTGCATGATTTTTTGTATGGCTCTTTAACATAATCTTTTCTATTACTTTTTTAATTTTTAAATTTTGTTTTTTAAATTTTTTTTCTCAGCAATAAATCCATTTTTCTCATTTTTTTATTTTGTATTTTGCACTCGTTTTAATTAAAATACATAGATATCGTTATGTATATTTATAGTTCATGTGTTAATCTCACAGTACACTGCCATATTTTTTATACGTAGTTTTCACAATGCATTTTCACATTTCTTTTAGTTTTTTTATTATTTTCATTTTTTTTATAAAGTTTCTCTTTTACAGTAACATTGCATGATTTTTTGTATGGCTCTTTAACATAATCTTTGCTATTACTTTTTTAATTTTTAAATTTTTTTTCTCAGCAATAAATCCATTTTTCTCATTTTTTTATTTTGTATTTTGCACTCGTTTTAATTAAAATACCTAGATATCGTTATGTATATTTATAGTTCATGTGTTAATCTCACAGTACACTGCCATATTTTTTATACGTAGTTTTCACAATGCATTTTCACATTTCTTTTAGTTTTTTTATTATTTTCATTTTTTATATAAAGTTTCTCTTTTACAGTAACATTGCATGATTTTTTGTATGGCTCTTTAACATAATCTTTGCTATTACTTTTTTAATTTTTAAATTTTGTTTTTTAAATTTTTTTTCTCAGCAATAAATCCATTTTTCTCATTTTTTTATTTTGTATTTTGCACTCGTTTTAATTAAAATACATAGATATCGTTATGTATATTTATAGTTCGTGTGTTAATCTCACAGTACACTGCCATATTTTTTATACGTAGTTTTCACAATGCATTTTCACATTTCTTTTAGTTTTTTTATTATTTTCATTTTTTTTTATAAAGTTTCTCGTTTACAGTAACATTATTTTTTCATTTCGTTTGAATATTGTAGTTTCATTTTGCTTCTTTTCAAAAATGTGCATATGTAAAAAAGATTTTTAGTTTTAATATATATGTAATATATATATTATAGGTACATATGTATATTTATGACTCATGTGTTCAAATTCTAATCTCACAGTGGACTGTCCTGTTGTTTTTTATATAGTTCACATTTACTTTTAGTCATTATTTTTTCATTTCGTTTGAATATTGTAGTTTCATTTTGCTTCTTTTCAAAAATGTGCATATGTAAATAAAAATTTGTTTATTTGAGATATATTATATATGTATATTTATCAGAAGTATTAAATTATTTTTATAATTTATTATGTTATATTTTATTTTGCATATATCATATTTTATTTGCGTTTGCGTTCTTTCTCTGCATGAATTTTACATTATTTTTTTCATCGCTTACATTTAACATCGTTTCAGCATTGACTAAATATTGATTGATTAATTTATAAATTATATTATACTTTTTACAAAACTATATTAACTTTGCTTTTTACTTAACCTTTTTTTTAACGTTAAAATTTACATAACTTCATAATTATACCTTTTAAAGTAAAATTGAATTATTTTTTTTAAAAATAAAATCATAAATCTAACTTATACTAATAGTTAAATTAAACCTTAAATTTATACTTAAAATTAAACTTTTTAAATTAGATTTTAATATAAAATTTCTAACGAGTTATATTTTATTTTATAACGTACTAAGTAAAATTTTTTTTTTTTACTTAATCAGAATTAATTTATTACATTAACTATTATGTTGTAATTATTTAAATTTCGCGCGTTACCGACTGCGCGTTTGAACTGTAGGAGCTTTACTCAGCCGCCGCTCACACAAGGTGATGAGAGCGCATGGTGGGGTCAGCGCGTGGTGGGAGTATGACACTTTATGTCTACGAGCTCAGCGGCACTAGCTCATTCGCAGCAGCAGATTAGTCCCGAGTAGTCGATGACGATGGAGAGCTGCGATTGCTACCACTGCCATGTGATGAGGGTGTCGGTGCACAACGTAAGTATTATATAATATAATATAATATAATATAATATAAAATAATATAATATAATATAATATAATATAATATAATATAATATAATATAATATAATATAATATAATATAATATAATATAATATAATATAATATAATATAATATAATATTTTTTAGTTGCAGAATCCTAACGACGAGGTACCGTTCCCGACGACGCCACCGGGGACTCCACCCAGGTATCCCTTGCACCAGCCAGAGACGCCATCTTGGGTGGAGTTGGGCTCTCCACTAAGGTCCAGGTCGCCGACGCCGCAACCTAGGGCGCAGTCAACCCCAGTGGCCAGGGCGCCAACACCTCCACCGGAGGTCAGGGTGCCGACAGCTCCACCAGAGGCCAGGGCGCCGACACCACCACCCGGCCCAGAGAGAAGACAGCGACGAAGGCGTCATCGCCGCCAAGCTACCATTATTTTAAATATTAATATTAATATTAATTTTTAATAAATGTCCATTTTTTTTATATATCCGTATACATTCTTTTACGCATGCGCGAATGGGTTGGGGTAAATGTAAGAGTGGGGTGTGTGAAAGGTAGGAGTGGGGTAAAAGTTCTAGTGCGCATGCGCGAGAAAATTTCGGATATATATTCGGGATCGCGAGCAAATTTAGTCATTCTCTCTTCTGTTCGCAGGTGTTCCAGCAGCAGCAGTCTCCCTTGCCATTTATTAACTGTCTTTTTTTTTTGATATTTATTGTATTTATTGTATTATTTGATATTTTTTTTGATTTTTATTGTATTTTTTTTGATATTTATTGAATTTATTGTGTTTATTGTATTTATCTTTTGTATTTCTTAGGTTAAGTGTGTTCTTTTCTAGGTTAAGTATTTTAATTTTAAGTTTGCGCTTTTAGGTTAAGTTTGATAGCTTGTAAGTTTAATTTCAAGTTTAGAGATGAAGCGGAAGGCTACAACCATCGAGGGACCACGTAAACATCCCAACTACAGGACCATCCTGGATGAGTGTGACGTCACCTTACCACTCATCAAGGAAGCTCTTGAGTTGGTACCACAATTGAGTGACGTAGGTATAAGGCGTACATTTATCGAGCGATGGGTTGCAGAATGCTCGAGACATGAAAATTTGCTGTCGAGCATTCTAAAATCGATGTATTTTACACATCAGAAGCAGAGATGTGTGAGCATTCTGCAATCAATAATCAGATTTCGCGCTTTATTCGAGTCTTATGTTGTAGATGGCGCTGGAATCGGTGATCCAGACATTAATAATCGCGTGCGCTGGGAAGAGTGTGAGAGTGCTTTTGCATGTAGACTATATACTAATGCGGTTCTGAATTTAGTCCATATTGATATTAGCGCGTTTTTGGACGATGCGTCCAGGCTGTTTCAGGACCGCATTAGAGATGCTTTGAACAAGTACGGCCCCATTTTGGTGTACGGTGTTCTCATCGCCAACTTTAAGAGGGTTGAGAATGGTGAAGAGGTTGTTAAGCCTATTCCTTTCGGATGCAAGGCTAACAGTATCTTCACCACAACCCTCTTAGATGATTGGTTCGATGAGAACATTAAACAGCCAATCTTGCGCAGCGTGGAAGAGTTTCACGCAAAGGGTTCGAATTGGAACCTTCAATCGATTATAAGGTTAGAAATTAATGTAAATAAATACAACCCTTTGCGTGCAAGCTCTTACATTAACTTACCTCCGCAAATTAAAAACAAGCATGCATGCATTAATGTTGTAAACAGGGACAACGAGTGCTTTAAGTGGGCGGTACTCTCAGCCTTGCATTCAAACGTGTCACATCCGGAGCGTGTTTCCAGCTACAATAAATTTAAAGATGAATTAAATTTTGAAGGGATTGAATTCCCAGTAGCGTTAAAAAATGTCCCAAAATTTGAAAAGCTGAATGACATCTCAATTAACGTCTATGGCCTTTCAAAGTTCTACGGTGACTTTTCGGTGCATCCTCTTCACCTTACTGCGGAGAAAAGAGATAAACATGTAAATCTCTTATACGTTGCGGATATGTATGCGGATGAGAGTGTTAAAGAGAATGTAATATGCGATGATGGTGATTTCATGAATTTTCACTACGTGTGGGTAAAAGATTTATCGCGATTAGTGTTTAAGCAATTGTCTAATCGCAGAGAAAAGAAGTATATCTGCGACCGATGCTTGCACTATTTTTATTCTATAGAAAAATTAAATGAACACATCGAAAATTGTAAAAAGGTGAATGAGTGTAAAATTAAATTACCAAAGCCCGATAAGTGTACAATCACGTTTAAAAATTATAAAAATAAGGAAAAAGTTCCTTTTGTGATATACGCCGACTGTGAAAGTTTACTTCTTCCCGCCGATGAAGATGTAGACAATTTAAGTAAGACTGAAGTGTTCCAGCGACATAAATTGTTAAGCATCGGCTATTATATAAAATGTAGTTACGATGAATCATTATGTAAATATGTACCTTGTCCGAAGCATGAATCCGACCCTGCTAAATGGTTCACTGAGGAATTAAGGCAATTATCTGAAAAAATTGATAATGTCTTTAAAAATCCAATACAAATGACTGCCTTAACTCCTCAGGAAGTCAATGATTTCAAGCGAGCGACTATTTGTCACATTTGTCATCAGAAAATACCGGTGAATGTAAAGAAAGTCCGCGATCATTGTCACCTTACTGGCAAGTATAGGGGTGCTGCACATGAGTCATGTAATTTAAACTATCAAGATTGTCAAACGATCCCCGTAGTGTTTCACAATTTAAGTGGCTATGACGCACATTTTATAATCCACGCGATTTCGACGAGCTTTGAAGGGAAAATTGACCTCCTCCCCATTAACAAGGAGAAGTACATCTCCTTCACAAAACATGTTAAGGGGAGTGAGGTCAAATTAAGATTCATCGACTCGTTTCGATTCATGGCAGCATCCCTAGAAAAACTCGCATCGTACTTAGACGAGTATAAAATTGTAAACAGCGCTTTTACCAGTACGGATCAGGATAAAATTAAATTATTAACGCGAAAGGGTGTATTCCCTTATGAGTATTTAGATTCGCGGAGTAAGCTTAATGAGACTGAATTACCTCCTAAAGAGAAGTTTTACAGTACTCTTTACGATGCCGACATTTCTGATGAAGAGTATGAGCATGCGCAGCGTGTATGGTCCGAGTTTGATTGTCAAAATCTTAATGATTATGTACACTTGTACATGAAAACTGATGTATTATTGCTTGCAGATGTTTTTGAGAATTTCCGAGAACAATGTATTAAAGCGTACGGATTAGATCCAGCACACTATTATACAACCCCTGGTTTAACTTGGGATGCTATGCTGAAATATACATGCATAACATTGCAACTTATAACCGACATCGATATGATCATGTTTGTTGAGTCAGGTATCAGAGGTGGCATTAGTCAATGTTGCAACCGCTATGCCAAAGCGAATAATCCTTATATGGAGAAATTCGATGAAAACGAAGATACAAGTTATATAATGTACTTCGATGCCAACAATTTGTATGGCTGGGCAATGGCACAAGCGCTCCCATATGGTGGTTTCAAATGGGTTGACAACGTTGATGAATCCTTTGACTTTAATGTACCTGACGACGCTTCAGTCGGGTACATTTTGGAAGTTGACTTGGAGTATCCTAAAGACATCCACGATACTCATAAAGATATGCCATTTTGCGCTGAAAATGCAAAACCACCTTTATCGAAGCAAGAGAAATTATTAACTACTCTCCTGCCCAAAGAAAAATATGTCATTCACTATCGAACGCTAAAGCAAGTTCTTGCAAACAGTGTTAAGCTTGTTAAAATCCACCGTGTCTTACCCTACATCGATTATAACACAATAATGCGAACCAACGCCAAAAATGAGTTTGAGAAAAATCTGTTCAAGCTCATGAACAACGCGGTGTATGGTAAGACGATGGAAAATGTCCGTAAGCATGTCGATGTGAAGCTTGTCACCAAATGGTTTGTCCGCTACGGAGCCGAAGCTCTCATCGCACGGCCGAATTTCCACAGTCGATCGATTTTCGATGAAAATTTGGTTGCCATTGAGTTACATAAGACTGAGGTACTGCTCAACAAACCCATCTATGTAGGGTTAAGTGTGCTTGATATATCTAAGACGCTAATTTACGATTTCCATTATGGTCACATGTTGAAAAAATACGGCGATGCTTGTAAACTGCTGTATACCGATACAGACAGTCTTATCTACGAAATCAAGTGTGAAGATATTTACAAAGACATGAAAAAAGATATTGACAAGTTTGATACATCTGATTATCCCGCGAATAACGTCTATGATATTCCGCAAGTCAACAAAAAAGTCCTCGGCCTCATGAAAGATGAGTGCAACGGCAGAATTGTAATTGAATTTGTTGGCTTGCGGAGTAAGATGTACAGTGTACGAGTCGAAGATAAAGATTTTATTAAAAAAGCTAAAGGTGTTAAAGCCGGCGTTGTTAAAAAGACAATTCAATTTGATGATTATGTAAAATGTCTGCGAGATTTTGACATTCAAACTCGAACACAATATAATATTCGATCGCGGCTTCACAATCTTGAAACTGTGAAGCAGGTAAAAGTAGCTTTAAGTCCGCAAGACGACAAGCGGTATTTGTTACCGGGGAGTACCGATACTCTACCGTGGGGTCACTATGTGATCCCAAATCTCGACGATTTGTAAATAGTTAATAAGTTCGAGAAAAAAATATCGGGAAATGTAAAGGCTGTGATAAAAGAAATAAATAGAACAATTGTATTTTAATTTCATGTGTTTTTTATTTAAAAATTCCTTACATATATACATTATAACATTGATTTAACATTGATTCAACATTGATTTAACATTGATTTAACATTGATTTAACATTGATTCAACATTGATTCAACATTGATTCAACATTGATTCAACATTGATTCAACATTGATTCAACATTGATTCAACATTGATTTAACATTGATTCAACATTGATTTAACATTGATTCAACATTGATTTAACATTGATTTAACATTGATTCAACATTGATTCAACATTGATTCAACATTGATTCAACATTGATTCAACATTGATTCAACATTGATTCAACATTGATTCAACATTGATTTAACATTGATTTAACATTGATTCAACATTGATTTAACATTGATTCAACATTGATTCAACATTGATTTAACATTGATTTAACATTGATTCAACATTGATTTAACATTGATTCAACATTGATTCAACATTGATTTAACATTGATTTAACATTGATTCAACATTGATTTAACATTGATTCAACATTGATTTAACATTGATTTAACATTGATTCAACATTGATTCAACATTAACTATAAATTATACATTTGCTTTGTCTTCCCAAGTGTTGTGAGAGTTATCGAAACCAAGCCACTTGACAAGAACTTTGTTTCCACGTGTCCTGAGAATTTTCTCAACAAGATAAATGTCTGAATATTTCACTTTTAGAAGCTCCTCTTCATAGAATCCTCCACTGATGGGTTGATCTTGGTAATCCTTGAGTTTGTAAGTCACAGGTTGAGTTGATTCCACTTTATCAATTGTAAATATTTCAGTAGTCCAATTAGGACTATAACCTTTTTCGAAAATATTTTTATATTTGCTAACTCGCACTTTGTCACCAATTTTAAATTTAGATCGTCTTAACGGAATTTTTCTGAGCTTCGAGATTCGATCTTTTAAAATATCAACATGTTGTGCAGTAACATCTTTAGGCTTCATTCCAATTGTTCTATGTTTTGTGTCATTATAAGTAGAAATGAGGTTAGGTAATATATCATACCACTTGTAATTTCCTCGTAAACTGAATTGCATCCACATTTTCCTTTTAAGTGTTCTGTTAAATCTTTCAACAATAGATGCTTTCAAGTTACTGTATGTTGAATAAAAATTAATTTTGTACTTTTTCATTAAAGCTTCAAATTGAGAATTGTAGAATTCTTTACCTTTATCGGAATGAAGGTTCTTTGCAATACGTCCTTTTTCAAATATGAATTTCATTGCGTTAGTCACATCTTTTCCATTTTTACTTTTTACTGGAACAGCCCAAGCATACTTGGATAAGATATCTATGACTGTAAGTAAATAATTATAACCTTTGTTTATTTTTGAATAAGGTAGCATTTCAACTAAATCTGCTTGCCAGGTGTCATCAATATCACGCATTTCTACGCGACGGCGATGGAAATTTTTTCTAGCCTGTGTATGAAGTTCAGTTACTACTGTTAACTTTTTATCAGGCATCATTCTTTAATAAATTTAGCTGCATTAAATACAAATTTTGCTGTGATTCAATTTGTTTTAGTTTTTCGTTAACTCTGTCCTCAATAATTTGCATAAAAAGATTCAAGTCATCAATAGATGATCTTAATGATGACGTAACTTGGAAAATAGTTTTTATTTCGTTTTTTACAATGTTTTGTACAAGTCTTAAATTTACTGCATCATGCAGTTCTTCAGCGTCTTTAACGTTACAAAGTCTTTTATTATCTATATCAAAGTGTCCACTTGAATTAACTTTAAATCCAACTCCAGTAGGTCCACGTCTTGCTATTACTGTTCCTCCTTGACTGAGAGGATGTCCGAACAGATCAATGCTCATTATTGAAATGAATGACATTTACTAAAGCACACCTTAATATATGATTTTAGCCTCACGTAATTCCTCAATACTTGACATAATTTCATTATTATGACTAGTATTACCAGCTCCTTGAGATGCCATAAGTAATCGAAGACGATCAACCAATTCATTTGGATCATCCCAATAAATATAATCTGGTTTAAAACTTTTATTCGCAATCATAAATTTAGGTAGTGAACTACCACTTATAGATGACTCTTTTGTAGAAGGAAATAATTTTGATATAATATTCATGTATTTAAAACTTTTATCTCTATGAATAGAGTTAGAGGAACTATAGTTTTTTCTATGTGCATTGGAGGTGGTAAGAATTTGTTTATAACTATTCATATCATGTTCACTAATGTATGATTTTTCAGGTTTGTTTTTAAATAAAAGTTCTAATAACCCAGAGGTAATTTTAAAACGTTTATCTTCAATATCTACAATGTGATTTTTAAAGATTATGGTTTTATTACCAATCATAAGAGAACCATCATTAGCTTTGCGTACTCCATATATCATATCCAAACATTGTTTTCTATTATGTTTTATCAAAAATATATATTTACTAACTAATTTATCAATGTCAGATCCGGGTTTTAGTGTTTCACCATCATCAGTACTCATATAATTTATATCATCATCACTATCATTTTTATCAGATGCAGCTTTATTTTCAATCTCCTCTTTCTTTTCAATATTAACATTTTCATGTTTATAATCTGTCAAGTTAATAATTTTTTGTAAAGGTTGAACTACTGGCTTAAAAGTTTCATTCAAAACATTTTCGACAGCTTCCTTCCCTAATTTCAACATACGATGCTTCCGTCTAATTGCCTCACTAGCTTTAGCAATTTGTCGTAGATACTCTTTCTCTTTATGAAACATGTTGATATTTAAAGTTTTAAAACAACACTAATACTATTTTAAAAATTATAGTGTATTTATAGTGCTAGAAAACTATCGAATCCTTTTCTATATCTTCCTTCATTGAAATTAGAATCTTTATCAATTACTACAAAGCCATATTTGTCTGAATTCCAACATGTTGAACATAACTCTCGAAATTGATTAAATGTCATGTCAGTATTAACATGATCATCATACACATGTCTTAAATTTTTCTCATCTTGACGAAAAAGGACTAATAAATTAACATTATCACGTACTAAATGTTTAGGAATTCTAGCATATGTTTGACAGAGGTAAAAACAATCAACGTCAACATGTCTACCCATACAAAAGAATGCCCTTACGTTGTCTTGCTTTTCACAAGCAATATCGTCAAATATAAATATTGAATTTTGATTTGCTTCTTTAGGAGCAATTACTTCTTCATGATCACTAAATGGTAAATATTCAACTCCATCAACGTTACTCACAACTTGTTCTAAGAACTTATATTTTGGTTGTTGTAATGATTTTGAGTATAAGTAAATGTTGTCAAATCTGAGACCATTAGGATCTAGAATTAGAGATAGTAATACATTTGTTTTTCCACAATTTGATGGGCCACAGAAAATTGCACGAATACTACCTGATAATAAACTACCATGACGCTTAACTTTCTTCTCTTGTTGTTCAACAATTGAGTCCAGATTTACGACTGGCAGCTTATTAGGTTGTTCCTTGAATCGCATCCTGATGTAGACTGTTGTAAAAGGTATAAATGCAGCGCTTATATAACCTTTCAGTCATTCTATTTTAAACTTTCATAGAGTAAGGTATGATTATTCATCATCGCTCTCGAGGGAAAGGTTTAGTCAATAGTCTTATAAATAAGTTACCATTTGAATTACATCTGCCTGGTTATCAATATTGTGGACCAGGCACAAAGTTAGTAAAACGTCTACACAAAGGTGATCCGGGTATTAATCTTCTGGACGCCGCTTGTAAGGAGCACGATATCTCATATTCGAAAAATCGAGAAAACGTAGAAGCAAGAAACGTTGCTGATAGAGTTTTAGCTGAGAAGGCGTGGGAACGTGTTACAGCAAACGATTCCAGTTTAGGTGAAAAAGCTGCTGCTTTAGCTATATCTGGAACTATGAAAGTTAAATCAAAATTGGGTATGGGAGTTAGGAGAAAGAGAAAGCCAAAATTAGGCTTGGGTGGAAGGAAGAAAAAAAAGATATCTTCTAAAAAACTAACTGCCCTCAGAAAAATTGTAGATGCAGCTAGAAAATCCATAATTCCTGGTAATGATGCTCAATCAACAATTAAAAGTGCCATTGAAACTGCTCGGAAAGCTGTTAGAAATGCAGGAGGAAGAAAGAAAATTTTAGCACCGCGCATCTTGCCTGTACCTTCAAAAATTGGTGGTTTACTACCATTAATTCCAATTTTTGCTGGATTAAGCGCCCTTGAAGCACTAACTGGAGGTGTAGCAGATGTATCAAAAGCTGTAAATAGTGCAAGTGCAGCAAAAGATAAATTAAAAGAAGCTCACCGCCATAATAAAGCCATGGAAGATATTGCACTTGGTAAAGGTCTACATTTGAAACCCTATCGACAAGGATTAGGTCTTCATTTAAAACCGTTTTCAAAAGGATCAGGCCTTCATTTAAAACCTTATCAAAGAGGACAAGGAATAAAAAAGTGTTCAAAAAAAAAATTTTTTTGATACTTCCTAAGCGAGCACTAACTGACTTTGAGTTGCTCAAGTTTGTTAAAGACTTGAAAATTTCTAACTTTAGAGGGGTTTTTATGCGAAATGAATTGCCGACAACAGGGCCGCGAAAAAATGAATCAGCTATTATTAATTTAGATGATAAAGATGGTTCTGGAACCCATTGGGTTGCATATAAAAAAGTTAATAATAAAGCTGAATACTTTGACAGTTTTGGTAATCTTCAACCACCATTTGAACTTGTTAGTTATTTAGGTTACAATACTCTAATACAATACAATCATAAAAATTATCAAGATTATGATACTTTTCATTGTGGTCATTTATGTCTTAAGTTTTTATGTGGACAACTTGAAATCACACAAAAATATATTCTATATAAATGATGGTATTTATATAACCTAATC